CTCTCTCTCTCTTGATCTAGCAAAGCCTCATTGGAGAACATTGTGCTCAGGCTAATCAGCAACTGGATTTATTTGGAGGTGGACACAGCTCACCCAGCCCCCTACTTGACTGTAAGCTCCAGGAAGTTGTAGGAAGACAATCCTCATTTACATAAATCCAATTCTACCTGGTGAAAGTGACCAGTTCCTCAGTGTCTTTCAGCTTGGATTGTTGCCTTGCTGCCAAGTCCTGGGTGTTTCCTTTTGTTTTCCAGTAAAATGTGAGTAGCTGAAAAATTACATTTTTTGTGTATTTGTTGATAGGAGATGCCCTTTGTCAAAGGACCTCATCTCAGGGGAGCTGGTGGTCTGTACTTGAAGGTTGCTGTATCAGTTGCTCTCTAAAACCAAGTGAATCCAACGGTTTCAAACCCTAGCCACTGGGCATGCAGCCCTCGGGCATTGCAGTGGGCGTGCAGCTAGCCACTGGGCATGCAGCCCTCGGGCACTGCAGTGGGAATGCAGCTAGCCACTGGGCATGCAGCCCTCGGGCATTGCAGTGGGAGTACAGTTAGAGTCTGCCCTGAACTCCCAATTAAGCTGCAGATGAAACTCAAAGTCATTTTCACTATGCTGATCATTAAGAGGACTGACTGGTTCATTTTGAGGCTCATTACACACTTACACACACACACACACACACACACACACACACACACACACACACTAGCCTGCAGACCTGAGGGGCACACAGAGCATTTAACAAAAACCACACCATAAATTAAATGTCAGAAACCCCTTTTCTTTAAAGCTGCAGAAGTGTTAGTTGAATGAGGTGCCAGCCTAACTTGGGAAGTTGGCAGCCCAGCAGAGGTCTGACCATTCTCTGCAGCTTCTCTTCAGGGTATATGAGACACATGTCAGACCAAACAGGGAAAAACTATTGAGCAAGCAAGTTTGAGAATTTGACTATGAAATCACGCTTGATCCTCTTACAAACATTCCCCAGATATCCTACAGCACCAAATGCTTTTGGATTAACTCTCCAAGGTCCTGCAGCGCAGCCTCATGGTCACGGTTACATATTGGGATTACTTGTTCTGATTTACTTGCTCTTGCTCTGTTTTATTCTGAGATAGCAGGACCTCTGAGACTGGGTAATTTATAGGTAACAAAGACTTATTTCTTATGATTCTTCAGACTGGGAAGTGCAAGGTCGAGTAATGCATACCAACCTCCGTTGACCTTGCAAGTCACCTTGCGGAAACCTAGGAGGGAAGCAACCAAAAATGAACTAGGCAGACAGTGCTCCAATGGCAACTGGCAATGTTTATTTCCAGGGTTCCAATTTTTATGCACTCAGCAAAACAATAGTTCAAACACAACTCAGACTTAGGTCATGTCTATAAACAAGGAGTTCAAGCCTTGGTCAAAACACTACTGAAACGGGGAGTTGAAAAGGGGTACTGTCTGTTCTTGGTTAGCTGGCTAGACAGAGCACAGATGTTCCCCTTCTATCAAGGAGAGCCCCAGAACACTTCCAAGGACTCACTGGGGGCAGGGTGCACTCTGGGCGAGGGACACTTTGCCTGCTCTTCCTGGAGCCTCTTTTCAGCAGGTTCCCACAGGCATCTGTTACCCCGGCTATCCTGGTGGATGCATTCTGACAATGCACATCTCATGAGGGCTTTCTTGATGCACCATCCCACAGTAGAAGGTAGAAGGTGGAAGAGAAAGAGGTTAGAGAGAGAGAGAGAAATAGAGACAGAGATGTAGGTAGAGATGGAGATAGGTAGAGAAATAGAAATTCAGGCTGGAAACACGTGGTAGACGTACAGAGATGGGCAGAGAGATGAGAGATAAAAGAGATGCCAAATACATCCTGTTGTGAGGAACTGACTCTCAAAGTCACAACTTGAGTGCAGTTCCCTCATCAACTAATCACTCCTTCAAGGCCCCACCTCTGGACACTATTTCATTGAGGATGAGGTTTCCAGGACACAAACTTGGGAGACACATTCAAACTTTCAAACAGGCCCTGAGCCAGACAGGAACAACATGAGTAACACCAGAATCTCTGAATGTGTGGTGCCAGTGTGGAGACCCAGCCCAAGGGAGGTGCCTCTTATGACACCAAGGACCTGTCCAGCACTGGTCAGAGCTTGGGCTGCTCTGCTTCCCATCCACCTCCCCGCTTATGCTGCTGGGAAAGCAAGACAAGGTGCCCAGAGAACTTGGGCCTCTGCCACCAGTTGGGGAGACCCAGAGGGGCCAGTTTCAGCAGCCAATTGGGGAGTAAACCAGTGGATAGAATCTCTTTCTTTCTATCTCTCTGCCATTCTGTCCTTCAAATAAATAAAGTCTTCTGAGGCAGGATCCAATATCTTCACAGGTAATTCCAGAAGGCTCCCTGGCATGGTCAGCAGCAGAAATGCAAATCCCTAGGCTCTACCCAGACCTGCTGGGCCAAAATCTCTCAATGGAACCTGGCCAGCCTCATTTAAAAACTACATTTATTTATTTATTTGAAAGTTAGAGAGAGTGAAATCTTCCTTTACATAATTAACTCCCCCAAGTGTGTGCAACAGCTGGAGTTAGGCTAAAACGGCCAAGACCCAGGAGCTTCTCTAGGTCTTCCATTGGGTGCAGGAGCCCAAGCACTTGGGCCGTCTCTACTGCTTTCCCAAGCACATTATCAGGGAACTAGTCCCAAAGTGGAGTAGCTGGGACTTGAACTGGCGCCCCATATGGGATGCTGGTATTGCAGGCAGCAGCTTTACCTTCTGTGCTACAGCACCAACCCCAAAGCCATCCTCCTTCTAACCTTGTGACTCCAACTCCCTCTACAGCGTGAATCCCACTGCCTTACAAAAAGGCCTGGGAAGTTTTCTGAGCAGCTGTTTTTAGTGGCTTCCTCCCTTCATGGTCAAGCCCATCTGGTTTTAAGTAACAGTAATGCCACCGGAGTAAACTAACTGCAAAAAAAAAGTGACTTTTCAGCTAATTTGCTATATGGAGTTATTGTTGCTAAACCAATCACCATTTGGAACTCCAAAGATTGCCTGGTAGCCTCACATTATGCTATAGGAACTTCTAATGTTAGCAGGATTATTTGCCAGTTATGGTCACTCTGAGTTTGGGGAAATAAAATTATCAGCTCAAGCCTTACCTGTTTTCAAGGCAGGGTTCTATGCATTCATAAGTGGTTTCAAGTCATTTTTTAAAAAATGGTTGAGCATTGAGTTTGACTCTGTTACCGAATGATTCCTGCTCACCCCCATGGTTAAAATGGTCTATGTGCTGGGCTTATTAGGGGCCACCCCTTGTGTGTCTTTTGAAACCCTGAAGCTCAAACACAGATATCTGTGAGCAGATGTTTCTCATTCATGGGTGGTCCCCCCTCGCTTAATAAAAAAGAAAGCGACAGTCATTGGAGACCAAACCTGATGCCCCAGAGTCCCCAGTCTGTGAGCTGCCATTTCTTAACAACATGGACAGTCCAGGAAACCCTCACTTGAGCCCACTCTGGTGCACCTGCCTGTTAGGATCACTGCTCCATGCCCAGAGCAGTGATGTGGCTTCCTACTCGACACAGGGAAAAAGACACCACTCACCGAGCAGGGTGAAGCACCCTCTGTGGCCAGGAAATAGCAGGGCCAGCATTCACAACAGTGAGGGCAGAGGTGTCCAGCCAAAGTCCCAGCTGCTTCTGCTCATCCATCCCCAAGCCTGTGGTCATGCCTGCATTGCAACAACAGCAGCAGCACCACCACCACCACCACCAACACACACACACACACGAGCAAAACTCCTTTTAGCTTCGCGGTGATTCCAATGCCTCCCAGATGGGGTTTTCAGGACATGTGCAGCCTCTGGGGGAATTCCACAGCTAACTCTTGGCCTACTCCTGGACATTCATTGATAGTTCCATCAAGGTGAAAGTGAAGGGGGAGATGCCGCCGTTCCCATGGCCATCTGTGCTCACTGCTAGGTATTGTACAGCGGATCGAGAGGACAGAGAGCATGAGCTGTGATACAAAGTTGGCCATGGGCTGGAATAGGCTTCTCCACCCAGATGAACACAGTGATCCCTGGAGAGCTAGCTATTCCATGGTGAAAGAACAGATCGAGGCCCTTGTCCACTTTTTGTTGCTGGCCTAGTTGTCTGTTAAGAAGAAGTTCATTTCACCAATGGCTGTATAGTCTATGTAAAGGCTAAGAATATGGTGCTGGCATTGACTCTGTATCTGGTGAGGACCCTGTTACTGAGAGAGGGCATCCCTGAGAGACAGAGAGAGCTTGCTTTGATCAGAAAGTCTGTCCTGGCATAACCCATGAGTTCGTTTTTTGGGGCAAGACCAACTCTCCAAGACCTCAACTCTACACTGGGGCATCAGGGACCAAGTCTTCCCTGTGGACTCTGGCAGACACACTCAGTCCATTGCATAGAGCATGCTGGGACTCACGGATGACCGTGCTTGCTTCCAGTTCATCATGGAAAGCAGCAGGAACTAGTTGTGCATGTAGGGTTTCTGTCAGGTCCATTGGAGGAGGAGGTGGCGGAGGTGTGTCTCCTACTGTTGATGGAGCTAGCAGGGAGCAAGGGCTCACCCCAGGTGAAGTGAGGGAGTGTACATGCACACACAGAGCAGGTGGGGGCCATGGAAGCTTATGGAAGGGACCAGTAATACCGTTTCACCAACAGAGATACACACTCTAAGCAACAGTAGGCTGCAAGGGCTGCCAGAGAAATGGGTAACTGTGGTCCCCTGGAGGGTGGAGGGAGTGGGAGCTGTGGGCAGAGATAAAGGGAATCAACATATCAACTGACAAATCAAGAGGGTTATACATACCCACACTGGAACAGACCAAGGACTGAAGAACACAGTTCACCCATCACCTGAGATCTTAAACATTGTGTGTGCATGCTCAAACCTGTGGCTTGGAACCACTGCCCCCTCCACTGTCAGACTGCATTGTTTTTTCTTTTAGGAGGTGTGCTCAGGACCTGGAAGCCCAGAATGCTGCTGCCCAATGCCACAGCTATGACGCCCTTGCTGATCACCCTGGGGCAGGAGATGACCCCACAGGGCAGCAGCGCGTCAAGCCCAGCCCACAGGTCCCCGCCAAGTGACGACGGCGAGCTGGAGGCGCTCTACATCCTCATGGTGCTGGGCTTCTTCGGCTTCTTCACTCTGGGCATCATGCTCAGCTACATCCGCTCCCGGAAGCTGGAGCACTCCCACGATCCCTTCAACGTGTACATCCAGTCCAATGACTGGCAGGAGAAGGACAAGGCGTACGCCCAGGCCCGGGTCCTGGAGAGCTACAGGGCATGCTACGTCCTTGAAAACCATCTGGCCATGGAACACCCCAACGCACACCTGCCTGGGCTGCAGCCTGCAGCCTGAACCCACAGTGCCCAGCTATACCCAGGCAAGCCCCCATGTGACTGTCTGACCTTTCTAATCATGTGCCTGTGGTGGCAGATTCATCCTGTGCTTGTTAGGGGTGAGGGCCAAATCAATGACACTGCTCTCCTCAAATCGCATTCCTTCTGCTATAGATGTCCCCCATTGCTGTCCCTTTCTTGGTCAGTGGACTAGAGTGCCCAAGAACACAAGCTCCATTTTCCATACCTTGTGACAGCCAACAAGGCTGTGTAATGGGGCCCTCGCCAGCAAAAGTAGAAATGATGAGGGTCCCCCATCCCTGTTCCTGACAGCAGGGACTTGGATGAGGTGGCAAACACCAATGTTCCTGGAAGAGAACTCCATGTTCCCAGATGGCAGGACAGCAGTGGTCCAAGGTCAAGGCGATGGCCAGGGTCAAGTAAGACTCCATAGCACAGGGCAACTAACTCCGCCCATCCTTAAATCATTGCTGTTTTTGCCTTTATTAAGGGCACAAAATTGTCCTGCTAACTAATAGACCTGTCTTGCGGGACTTAACCCAAAGGCGGGCTTGCTCCAGTGTTTCACAATCACAGCAGTGTTTTGGGCCTTGTCGCTTCTGTGTTGGGCCACTGTGACCCTGTCCGCCATTCTTCCCCTCCCTTCTGCTCCCCTCCTCCCCCAAGCACAACCACCTTACACAGCTCAGCCTAGCAGGAATTGCCTCCTGCAAGCTTGGAATGAAGGAGAAAAATGGTCCCTTTTCCGAGTAAACCAAGGATTGTGCTTGATCACCATGAAAAGAGGAAGATGGGGCCCTAGAACCCCATGTGGGTATGGGTGCCTCATGAGAGTGACGTGGTCCACCTCTCGGGTGAAGGACCTGCCTGTGGCTTCTGTGGTATTCCTCCCACCCCCCAAAGCATGCTGCAGTCCCAAGCCCTGTCACCTGTGCCCGTGACCTTAATCTGGAGTTTTTGCAGGTGTAATCAGGTGAGGCGAAGGTGATGTCACTGGTGTGGATCCTAGATCAATGTGACGGCCATGCTGGAGCCACACACACACGGTGACCGGCAGGATGACAGTTCTGCAGAGGCAGCCTGACCCTGCTTGGATTTGGGCTCCTGGCCTCTAGGACCAGGAAACAGGTGCATCTGTGACTCAGCCCTCAGTGTGGGGCACCGCCTCCTGCAGGCCCTACTGACCCTGCCTTGGTGCTGCTCCCTACTCAGTGGGTGAACTTGGGGTGCAGGAAGATGCCACCTGCAGGGGCTGTGCCTTGCTGGCACTCACAGGCCTGTGCTGTGATACCTGTCCTGACAGAGGCACAGAGAACAAGGACCCTAGGGGCACAGCTCCCTTCCCTAGAAAATAGGGGACCCTGCCTCCCACACCTGGCATTTCTAAAGAGTGCGGGATTACAAAGTATCTTTGAAAAATTCTGAGGGTGGGGGCCAGCTCTGTGGCATACTGGATTAAGCCTCTACCCGTAGTGCCAACATCCCATGTGAACTCTGGTTCGAGTCCTGGTTGCTCCACTTCCAATCCAGTTACCTGCTCATGTGCCTGGAGAAACAGCGAAGTCTGACCCAAATGCCTGGGTTCTGCACTCACATGGGAGACCTGGAAGAAACTCCTGGCTCCTGGTTTTGACCTGGTCCTGCCCTGACCATTACAGCCATTTAGGGAGTGAAAATAAAAGACCTTTCTCTTCCTTTCTCCTTCTCTCCCACTCTCTGTAGCTCTGCCTTTCAAATAAATAAATCTTTAAAAGCAAAAATATCCTGATGTGATGTCAGTGGAAAGCAGCCCTACCATTCTCAGGGGGACAAATGTGACTCTGATTTGGGGGCCCCATCTAGCCGTCAAGGGTATGTGGGGGGGAAGCCCTGAACCCCCGAGTGACTGCAGCCCTCCAGGGGTTCTCTGAGTGCCAGAGTCCCATGAAACCCCAGGGAAGGCTGACTTCCCTCACTGCCGCCACCCTGAAGCTTGCACACACACCACGAGCAGCCTCAGGAGCCCCTGCTGCAGCTGCTGGCCCCGCGGCCCCTGTGTGACAGGGACGCTGCTTCTGCCAGGACTGTGTGGTGCAGACTGGGAGAAGGGCAGCTTCAGGCGGGCCTCAGAGTGCAGGAAGTCCAGGTCATGACCCAGGGTCACTCGTTGAAGCTGGTATCCCAGGCACGCCAAGGACTCTTGTCCCTCTGTCACACTCCCCCACCAACACAGCTGTGCCTTTGAAGGTACGGGGTGTCCTGGAAGCTTGGTCCTTCCTGTCCCTGGAGGACAGGCCTGGGACCCAATGTAGCTTTTATCTCGTCCTGTCTACCCCCTGCTTGGGCTCTAACACGAAGGGCAAACGAATTGAGACACTGATTTTCAAATGTCTATCTTTGAATATCTGACCTCAAGTGTGTGGAGTGTGTGTGATGTGCCAGGCCACTGTTCTATTCTAAGCTTCTTTAAAATAGAATCACAATTACTATTTTTAGCTGCTCAATAGGGTAACAATGCTTACTGCAATGTTATTAAGACTTTTTGTTGTTATTGTTGTATAATAAAGTCTCTTCATCCGGATCTATAGTGTGTATTTCTTAATATCCTGACACTTTAATTCTTTTAATTAAAAAATTATTTATGTGGGAGCCAGCATTATGATTTATGATTCCATATGGGCTGCTCCACTTCCAATCCAGCTCTCTGCTAATGCGCCTCAGAAAGCAGCGAAGGGAGGTACAAGTGCTTGGGGTTCTGGCCACCCCCACGGGAGACCTGGAGGAAGCTCCTGGCTTCAGCCTGGCCAGCCCTGGCCATTGTGGCCATCTGAGAAGTTAACAAGGGAGATGGATGCCCCTCCCTCTGTCTCTGCCTTTCTCTCTCTCTGTAACTCTTTCTTTCAAATAATTTTTTTTTAAGTTGCTTATCTGAGAGACAGAGCTCTTTCGTCTGCTAATTCACTCCTCTGCAAGTCTAGGCTGAAACCAGAATCCAGGAACTCAACTCAGGTCTCCCACATGGGTGACAAGAAGCGGCATGGAGCAGCCATTCAGAGGAGAGGCGCACAGGTGCCACTGACAGACGGAAAGCTGAGAAACCCAAGGCCCAGGCGAGGACACCCCTCCTACCACCCAGAGACCGCAGCCTAACACCCTCTACTTGAAGCAGGGAGAAAGCTCACAGACCATGCCTGGCAGAGAGCACAAAGCCAGAATGGGGGAAGGGTGGAACAGGCAGCTTCCCCAGTATGGTCCAGGCCAGGACACACAGTTCCCAGCCTCCTTTCATCTGGACTGCTTGGTTAGATACCAAGCCCCACGCTCACTGTCACAAGTCACTCAACCCAAGTCTGAGTCCACCCTCCTTGCATCCTTAAGACCAGCTACTGAGAGTCTGCCCCAGAAAACTGGATCCACTCTACAGGCGGGCAAACCAAGCTTTGGCACCCCTCTAGGGGGCGCTCTCGTGTGAACTGGGCAAAGTGGGAACCTCACCCCTTCACCCTCCCAGGGCTATGACAGCCAGCTCTGAGAGCTGCACAGAGGTTGCAGAGAAAGGCTGCAGGGCATCCCCAAGCACTCAGTGAACCTCAAGTTTATACCCAAGGTCATCCAGGAGGAAGGCAGCAGGCTATCAGCTCCCTGAAGTCCTGGTCCTTACCCTCCTCCTGATGCCTGGTGCTCTAAGGACTCCTGGAGGGGATGGGAAGGAAGGTGAGGCAGCGCTCAGAAAGGCCACGAGAACGCGGACTTGGTGGACGCTGAGGAATGTGGGGGGGTGAACTTGTTGAGTTTACTTTGTCATGGACACAAACTTCAGTCATTTTTCTAAGTAAGGTACCCCCAGTAACACCAAAAAACTGGTCAAAACCGATCCCCGAATCATTTATGATGGGCATCCTGGTGTGTGTTTAAAGAGACATCAAGAGCCCAGCAGACGAACCAAGCTATTAAAAAAAATTTAGACTGAGCCAGAAAGAAGCCACATTGCAAGGCCTGAGAGTGTCCTTGCACCTGCCACACAAGGAGCAGAAACCGGCTGGCAGGCTGAGAAACTGCCACAGAGCTGAGTCTCCAAGTCCACGGACCGGGTTGTGAGTGAGAGAATAAGGCACGCGGCTCTCCGGGCGCTTTGTGTTAAATCCACTTCTCTATGGGCGTGAAACCACCAGCAAGGGCCAGAGAAACCTGCAAGAAGCCGAGTGGAGAGAAAAGGAGTGGTAAATTCTCTAAGTGTGTGGTCACTGAACACACACACGCACAATCTTAATCCCCACAGCCCCCTTCAAAAAAAAGAATCAGGAGATGGAGAGCCAGGGGCTTTTCAAGTGCACAGGTCTACTGGATCATATCACAGATATTTCCAAAATTGCGCTCATCTCCCGCTACCTGTGCAGACGATGCTGCCCCCTGGTGGCTAGCAATGCTCAGGGCACCCTCTCCCATGCCATCACTCCTGCAAAAGTGGGTGAGAGGTATTTGATGGGAGGTTTTATTTGTATGTGAGTTGAACTTGTATGTGGCCATCAGGTTCAGGGACACAGGGCCCACTGCAGGTCCTGGTGTGCAATGTGAGGGTGAATGCTTAGAAAGAGAGAAGCTACCCTTAAGTGCACGGTGTGGCACCTGCTCTGAGCCGCAGCTCAGAACTCCTGGGAAGTCTGAAGGACCTGTCCACCTCCCACCCCCTACCTCCAGGAGCATCATCACACTCACCATCCTTTCTGCCTTTGGAAAAGACTCTCTCACTTGGGATCCAGCGCAATAGCATAGTGGCTAAAGTCCTCACCTTGCGTGCCGGGATCCTATATGGGTGCTGGTTCTAATCCCGGCAGCTCCACTTCCCATCCAGCTCCCTGCCTGTGGCCTGGGAAAGCAGTCGAGGACGGCCCAAAGCCTTGGGACCCTGCACCCGCCTGGGAGACCCAGAGGAAGCTCCTGGCTCCTGGCTCCTGGCCCTGGCTTCGGATTGGCTCAGCTCCAGCCATTGCGGGCACTTGGGGAGTAAATCATCAGATG